CTCCGTCTCTCTCTCTCTCTAGCTCTCTTCCCTCTCTGCCTATCCCTCTGTTTCCCCACTCTCTTTTCCCTCTATTTTTTGTTCTATCCTTTTCCCTCTTTTCCCACACTCTTTCCATCTCTTTTGTCTTTCTCTCTGTTGTACCTACCTTTGTTGTACCTCTCTCTGGAGTTCATCTCTCCGGAGTTCCTCTCTCCGGTGTTGCTCTCTCCGCTGTACATCTCTCCGCTGTACATCTCTCCGCTGTACATCTCTCCGCTGTACATCTCTCCGCTGTACATCTCTCCGCTGTACATTTCTCCGCTGTACATTTCTCCGGTGTACATTTCTCCGGTGCACATCTCTTCGTTGTACTTCTTTCTGCTGTTTCTCTCTTTTGTTACACATTCTCTCTCTTGTTCCACTCTTCTCTTGTTCCAAATTTTCCTCTCCCTCTCTAGTGTTCCTCTCTCGCTCTTCTTCTTCCCCTTCTTTTGTTCCCTCTCTCCTTCTCTTCTCTATTTTTCCTACTCGACAAATTACACAAAAATACTCATATTTTCGAAAAATCCAAAGTGTTACCTTATTTGAAGATCTGTTGTTGATGAACACATTTGAGTACCAAAAAATTGTATCTTTACAATTTTAATTTTAGGAAGATGCCGAGACATTTTTATTTTTTTAAGTTTCCGTGAAATTAATCATTTCAACGAACATGAGAAATACACCAATCACTCACGCGTCATATACGCTATCTAGGTACAAATGTAATAAAAATTTGCTGTTTTTTATGAAAAAGGCTTTTAAGCAAATAAAAATTTCTCTTTGACACCAACTTCTGCACAAAATATTCATGTATTTGAAAAATTGAACATGACAAATGCTCTGCACATTTGCTCAGCTCGAGCAAATGCTGAGATGGCTACTTGTTTTGCTTCCGGACATAAATTTAACTTAAAATTAACTTCTCCCCATAGCACGGCATACACAGTTTTTAACTGTTTTTGATGTAGACATAAATAAATAAATAAATAAATAAATAAATAAATAAATAAATAAATAAATAAATAAATAAATAA